AGGTATTTTTTTTACCGTCTACAGGGTTTCCTTGTTTGGATTATTTCGCTCGACGTACTACGTCTCGAGTTGTAGATTTTTAAGTATTAATTCCATCTAGTGTATGCCCTTGTGATTTGGATGATTAGACTGATCGCTAGCTGCATGATTCGTTACCTGATCGATTCTGGATGCTTATTGTTATCATAATTTAGTAGTGTTTTCATGTTGATTTGTGGATTTCAATTGTACGTTCTTTTGTAGTTTCTGTTATCGTATCGACTTTCGCATTGGATTTTCGTTCGTTCTATTTTCTTTGTGGGGTCGGGTCTTGCCGTGCGCCATGCACCTGACGTACACCTGTTTTCTCTGGTGTACGTCAGACTTAGGAGAAGAACAGGTTCAGCTAGGAGATCTCCAGGAGCCAGNTGTGATCGGGGACCTGTGACTTCACGTTGTATTTATTTCTAGACGCTTAGCGTATTGGATTGAGAAGAAAAGAAAAAGAAAAAAAAAATGATAGTGTATATTTCTTCTCAATCTAATACGTCGCGGGCTTGTTCACGTTCCGGTTCCCGTGTATTTTGGGAAGCGGGGCGTGATAACAAGCTTTAGAGCTTGATATATTGTTGCCTCTGTTGAAATTCTTTTGTTAAAGATTTTGTTTTGATTTGTTGCCTTGAATTCATTATATTTCACTTATATATGATGATATTTATGTGTTTGTGCTTATGGATCATCTATTCGTGCTTTATAATGTATTCTATAAGTGTTTTGATCATGTCTTACAAAGAAATTTTTTGTTGATCAAACATCATTTTTGGTTTAAATGGTTGATTTATGATTTCATTTGGTTGATTTGTTTTCTTTCGAAAACTCTTTTTACATGATTCTCATGTTACTCTCTCATTTGTTTTCATAAATCTATTTTTACATTTTTTTAATGTTAATGAGACACTATTTTTTACATTGATATATTTAAATATGTTCTCATTATCTCTTGAATGTGAGTGATTTTTGGCATATTATTTATGCTTGTTCACATGTTTGCCATGATCTTTTATTGCTTATATTTCATATGGCTTTTTGATAGGGGGAGCTATTCCCTATATTTGTTTTATACTCACCTATGCTTATTGATAGGGGGAGTTTTCGCTCTCTTCATACATTTGTCCCCTTTTTGATGTTGTCAAAGGGGGAGAAATATTATGAGTAAATATTGTGAGTATACATTTCTTTTCATATATGCATGTGAATTATAATTTATATATTCATTTCCTTTCATGCATATATCATTTTTATTTACTACTAATGTTATTTATCTAGTTTTTGTGCATTCCTATGTATTGTAGACAAACAACGTAGTTGGAGGATGGATGGATTGCGCCATAACGACGATATCAAATGGAGGTTGGCGGAATTGTGGAGTGAAGCAACATACAATTCAAGTTAAAGATCAAGTTTAGCTTCATCCGCAACGTGTACCAAGTTGAGCTTCAATGAAGATCAAGATCAAGCTTGGGTAATTTAGTATAGGTTTATATTATGTGTGTTTAATACGTTAAGCTCAATATCTATACACACACATTTTATTGGTTTCTTTATATATATATATAGTCATATATATATGTATAAGTTTTGGTTTCTATGCATATATATAGTTATATATATACATACATGTGTTTTGAGTTTTTATGATTATATATATGAAATTATATATTTCATATTTTCTATTGTGTTTTTGAAAACATTGCATAGAATATGCAATTTTGTGAAAATATTGTATTCTTAGTTTGTAGACTTTAATATCAGTTTATACATGTTTTACTAAGTCTATAAAAACATTTCACAAAGTTTCAAAAGTTGGTTTATGTCAAAACATCAAAATTCAAGTATCTCATATTTTCATGTTTTGGACTATTTTGTAAAATGATGATATTTTTCATTTGGGAGGTCCTTTCTGATAACCAGTCGCTGTAGCATGTTTATTATCATGTCTACAATCATTCCTCAAAGTTTTGCATTTTTTGGAATTTATTTGATATTTTTAAACAGCGTTTTAAAATAAGCAAAACAGTTTTGAATATGTCAGTTTTCGGTCGACCGAACCGGTCGACCGAACCTGAGTTCTCGTGTTCACTGGGCGACAGAGAGTTCGTCGGTCAACCGAGAGCTTCCTTCGGTCGACCGCACCGGTCGACCGGATAAGTCAGCTGGTGTTTTTCTCGTGTTTGACCTGGATAGCGGTCGACCGAAATTTCCGTCGGTCGACCGATCGTTTCTGTCGGTCGACCGCACCGGTCGACCGGATAAGTCAGCTGGTTGTTTTTCTCGCTTTTTGCACCTGCGGATAGCGGTCGACCGAAATTCCGGTCGGTCGACCGGCATCGTTTCTTGTCGGTCGACTGCCCGGAATTTTCTCGTCGACCGCCGCTCGTTCTGACTGCTTTCCAACAACTGTTTTTGCTTACCGTTGCTGGGGTGTTTTTGGGTTTTTGTTTTGGAGTTTGGCTGAGTTTTTGAGTGGGTATAAATACCCTATTGATGTTCTCTTTCAACCTAACTAAGAGAATTGTTTAAACAAGTTTAAGGGTGTTTTGTGTTTGTTTAAAAGAGTGTTTAAGATTTTGGTTTGTGAAGATAATTTCACAAGGGCTTGAGGAGATAATCTTTGGTGTTTGGGCTTCAAATCATCTCTCTCTCGCTCTTGTCATTTATTGGAGAAGTTTTCTAAACTCAATCTAGCTTTACATTTTATTGTTTGATTATCATTTTATTAAGCTAGTATTCATATTGAGTTTAGTTGATTTTATTTTCTCTATGTTTATACACACAACCCTTTGAGCTTATTGTATTTACATTCATAGTATAATTTGGGGTTGTGGGTTTGTGACTAAGAGTTGTGCTTAATTGAGTTCTCACCTTGTTTAGAGAACAATCAATTGATTTATATTGTGCTTAATTGTGAGGATTCACTTGTAATACACTTGTACACCGAGAGAAGTGTGTGGTGAGAGACGGGGTCGAATCCAAGAGGAGTGGCGTCGGTTGACGTGCCTAGGGAGAGGTTGTAACCGAGCACTTGAGGAGGAGGACACGGGCTAGGACCAACACTTAGTGTGTGAGGTGTGATTGCATAGTGATTGTATTGTGAGGTGTAAACGTTGTTCGGGTGAACGTAGAAAACCCGGTTGAGATAGTGGAGATCTCCTCGAGGTGAGGAGCGGAGACGTAGGTCGTGGGGACCGAACTCCGTAATCATATTGTTTGTTTGTGATTGCATTGGCGCACTTACTTTTATGTTCATATCTTATATCGCCTTTGTATATTGCTTGTTGATTATATTGCTCAGTATCTAGTTTAGATTGTTTACCCTTAAGTTTATATATCCTTGCTCATATACTTGTAATATCTCATTGATAGGATATATTCATTTGTTCATATTGCTTATCCTAGCTTACATATCTTGTTGTATTTCATACTTGCTAGGATAACTTATTAATATATTTTAATTGGCATTTAATAGGATTAGATTAGCATAAGACCCTAATCACCCCCCCTCTAGGGTCTAACAAAGGGAACGCAGGAGGAAGCGTGGAACGAGACGACGAGCAGAAGAATCAAAGTATCTAGTTTTCAGCCTGTGAGTCGACTCATAACAGTCATGAGTCGACTCATCAGGTTGAGTCGACTAATGACTGTCATGAGTCAACTCATCGCTGGTTTTTGAGTTTTGTCCAGTTTCTGACGAGTCGACTCATCTCAGTTATGAGTCGACTCATCGATGGTTTCCTGGTTCGTTTGGGTTTCTGTTCACACGAATTCCTGTTGGTTTTGGATCTGGTTATTTACCAAATTGCCATCCACGTTTGTACACCTATATAATGGATTGTTTTAGGGTTTCTAAACAATCAGAGAGAATCAGATAGATTCAGAGAGAGATTCTAATCTTTGTATTAGGGTTTAGTGAGAATTGAGAGTTTGTTCTTGATTCTAGTGAGATTGTGAGAGAGGGATTGTAATCTTTTCATACTCATAATCTAGAGAAGGTATTTTCCTTCGCCATATACTGAATTGTGCTTGTGTTTCTATCATCCTCTTCTCAACCCACCTTTGATAATTCCGCGATCAAAGGTGCTCGCACGGCAACTCGTATCATTCTCCCATTGCCTCTACGTACTACTGGGGTTGTCGAGGAGGAGCGGCGAAACGAGTCTGCTGGCGAGGCAGAGGAGATGTGTATTCAGCATAATTCTCAAGCACTCGGTGCTTAGCATAACTCGCAAGAGGAAGAGGAGGAGGAGGATCAAATGACGAAGAAGGCTGTTAGGGAGAAATCCGATTGAGGAATTCATTCGTGAAGGAAGCAAACTGTTGCTGAAGAGATGAGGAAATTCTTTGAGCAGATTCCTCTAACTGTGCTTGAGTGACATAACTCAAATGTGTTTCTTCAGTGGATGGAATGGAGGATCGGCATGGATGATTAGAACTAGCCATTTTGTACAATGAAGAAAAAGATGCCTCATTGTGGCAGCAAAATTGTTGATGTCAGTTATCAAACAAGAAAATTAAGTGTGGATTATTTAGCGGGTTAGGATTCCTCAATCTTCTTGGATGATTGCTTATGGAGTAGAGAATTTAGTCTTGCACACAAACAACACGTGAGAGGAATGGAGTTGGGATCTCTAGTGGTTCCTCTGAGGATCAAGTTAGTAGTGAGCTTGAGTGGAGAAAAAAAGTATGATTATAGTGTGATTATTTGTAAAAGATTTCTTGCCCTGGTGTAGTAGATAGTGAGCCTATTTATAACAGATTCAGAAGGATTGTTTTGTAATTTCGGCCGAGTCCAAGCATGCAACTTAGTCTGTAAATACACTACAGATGGTGTCAGTTATCTATGCGATTAATGTGATGGTGATAATAGAAGTACGGTGCCGATGGGGATCGATGAGTAATTAAGACTTTTGGTTCTAATTATACGTTTAATATGAGGTGATGCACTACCAGCGGTAACAAACCACCCCTCCTCTCGGCCTTTGCGAGAAGGTCAATAATTCACGTCTTTCGTCTGTTAAAAACCAGTCCCGATACAGGGATCACAAGCGTCGTTACTCTTTCGTCTCCGTCTCTCTCTCTTCTCCCTGATCTCGATCTCCCGCAGAAACATAAAAATAAAATAAAAATCCCCATTTCGTCAAAACCCTAGAATTGGATCGACTGAACAATGGGGAGTAAGGTTTGGGTGTCGCTAGATGTCGGAAGCGATGGAGTCGCTCTCATCACCATCTCCAATCCCCCAGTCAACGCTCTCGCTCCCGCCAGTAATTCTCTTCTCTTTTTTCAATTAGTTCAATTTTGGATTGTATGCTTCCGTGCTGTTTTACCTTGGGATTGATGACCTTTTTGCTGATGCAGTCGTCGCTGCGTTGAAGGAGAAGTACACGGAGGCGATGAATAGAAGTGATGTCAAAGCTATTGTGCTGACCGGTGAGGGCTTCTCTTCTTGCTTTTTGCTTGAGCTTATTGGTCTGTTTTTTTTTTTTTTTCATTCATTCACATCGAAGTAGAAAAAGACTTGATTTTGCTTTAATTTCAGCTTTTTAGTATGTAGTTAGCCTGGCTTATATTCCCACAGGCCACCAATTTAAAGCAGAACTATATTTCTCGACCCTCGCGATAACTTCGGAGTTTTAATGCGTCCCCAAAGGACCTTTGATCTTCTGTACCCCCAGTTATTCCTCAATTATTGTTTTCGGAGAGTGAACTTATTGATTGAACTCAAAATTAATGTTTGTTCATTTCATGTTTCTTCTCTTACAGGCGCTTCAGGGAAATTTTCTGGTGGTTTTGACATTAATGTTTTCGCCGAGGTTCACAAGACAGGCATGGGATCATGAACTAGCCCCTGCACGTACACCTAATTCCTGGAAGAAAGACACTCATTTTTTCTGTTTTGCATTGTCAGGAAACATATCGCTGTTGCCAGATGTATCTGTTGAACTCGTGGTGAACGTAATTGAAGGTTTCTCTCATTATCTGTCTATCTGCATCTTTTTTTCAACACTTTTTTGTTCTACTTTGTGAACCATGTTTCTATCTTCTTAAGTACGGGCTCTGCGCCTCTGCGTTCTGAAAAATCCTGACCCTTTTCCCGTGTTATTTTTTCTTCAGATGGACCGAAACCTTCCGTTGCAGCCATTCAAGGCCTTGCTCTTGGTGGCGGTTTGGAGTTGACTTTGGTTTGTTTCTTTTAGTTGATTATAATTGAGCGATGCTTCTTTTCCATTCTACTTATAACTTTTGGAAATGCTTACTTCGTTAGATACTTATCCACAATTTTTCTTCAGGGTTGTCATGCTCGAATATCAACTTCAGAAGCCCAACTTGGATTACCTGAATTGACTCTTGGTATTATCCCCGGATTTGGAGGTAGTGCTTATGTACTTGTATGGTCACTATAATTTTTTAGAGTGCACTACTTCAATAGTATAGATATGAAACAAAGTACAAACTGATATTCTGAATTCTGTATAGGCACTCAGCGTCTTCCAAGGCTTGTAGGTCTACCAAAGGCTATAGATATGATGCTCGTAAGTATTTGGTTTTAGTCTCATGAGGTTGTTCTGCATCTTTAGCATCTTTTTGGTCTCTAGCCTTCTACGATATTTAGTTTGCTGAAATCAACCAACCATATTCAAAATATTTTATATCAGTTTATTTATTAGAGTTGGCAAGCATTATTGTCTATTTCCGTGTCTGGTCAGAACTATTTGTTACCTGTTAATTCAGGCCTTTGATCGTTTTTACAGAGAATTATTGTTTGTTATGAACTCCTTGCATTAATTGCGATGAAATATTGAGTCAACCTAGTTAAATCCTTTCATTAAAAAGATGGTTAATGCGTTGCTCTGCTTACTCTGATGAACTCTTGTCTGTTACCCATCTTAGTGGCAAATTCTGATTTATTACTTTTTTACTTCTCAATTTTTATAGCTGACTCCAAAAAAAATGGGGATACAAGCTTTGTTAATGTTGCTACTGCAGCTGTTGTATTTTCTAATTTTTTATGATGTTTTTTTGTTGCCCCGTGTTTCTTCTTGTTCTTATAGGCTAGCATGTCAGTTCCATTTAAGTTTATTGTAATGAAAATATTTGGATTGAAATTCTTGAAGTGTGATGAACATGTTATGCATATCCAACATGAATTTTGAATCGACCGTGTATGAGCTTCTTGCACTTATGATCTCCTGCAGCTTTCAAAGACCATTCGTGCCAAAGAAGGGAAAGAATATGGCCTTATTGATGCCATTGTTTCCCCTGAGGAGCTGATAAGAGTTTCAAGGCTTTGGGCATTAGAAATTGCTGACAGGCGTAAGCCTTGGATTCGTTCCCTTCATCGGACAGATAAAATAGGCTCCCTTGCTGAGGCACGAGAAATATTAAAAGCTGCAAGGCAACAGGCTAAAAAGACTGCTCCAAACATGCCACAGCACCAAGGGTGCCTTGACGTAATTGAGGAGGGAATCATTTTTGGAGGATATGCTGGTGTTCTGAAAGTAAATGTGCATGCCTTCCGTGTAATTTGATACACTATCAATATAAAAGAATAATGATTTACTGAAATAGATTTTTCCACTTCAGGAAACAAAGCTTTTCAATGAGTTGGTTTTATCAAGCACTTCAAGAGGCCTTGTTCATGTGTTCTTTTCTCAACGAGCCACATCTAAGGTATGTTCCAGATTTTCAATATAATGTTTTTCCCCCTCCAGTAGCATGATGATTCAGGTATGCTTGAGTTTTTGTTGTTTTTTAGCATTTGGTGATGTTTGGTTAATCTTTTTAATGCTATAATGAATCAATTCTTCTTTTATAAAGAATCAAGGGCGATGGTCTTGTTCAGTAAACTGGCCAAGGATGCCAAGATTTCTATATAAGGGAGACATTATGTATTTAGATTGAAAAGTGTGCTTGATCTTCTGAAGCTTAGTGGTCTGCTCATTTTCTTATTGATATCAAAATGGATTGAGTTTTAAATATGAAAATAATTGGTTACATAATACCAGATTTAGGCACCATTTTGATCCCAGGTACTAATCCCTACGATATAGTTTAAGGTGGAAATCCCATTCGACATTTCTTTCCCCTGATTTGCCCAAGTGACCGACCTAGGGGATTTCTCTACATAAGACCACTCTTCGTTAGTTTTTTGAAATGCAATTTTAATGATTTTATCTGGTTTACTGTCTGATGTTGTATGAAAATAAATTAGAAGCATAGCTGAGATGATGCTACATAGTGTCTCAAGTACCATGATTATATTTTTTGTTAGCCAACAGACCATGCTCATTACAAGGAATGCTTACCATCATTCTAAGCAAGTTAGACGCACAGCTGAGAAAACACCACATAAAACTTTCACTCACACAAACATTCACTACAGAAGAGGGAGTGATCTATACTAGTAGCAACATTCACTAAAAAGAGGAAGAAACCTAAACTGAGAAAAAGGTGTCTCACTATATTCTAGTTGGTTTACTTTACTTTAAGCACCTAAATAAAAAAATGAGAATGATTGTAAGTTTACTTTTTTATGCATCAAGTAGGCTGAGAATGGATAGTCAAAACTAGCAAGTTGCTTTAGGTTTTGTCTTTGCAGTGTGTTACTCCAGATTCAAGCAACAATTTAATTAAGACTGGTTTATTTCATGCCTACTTAATGCGTAAGAAATTCGAAAGAGGCACTCTAGGTAATGTAGATCAGCATGAATGGTAAAGATTTCCTATTTAATTGAGTACATTAGATTTCAATTGGAGAGGATTTGATTTCACAACCTTCTAAATAGGTAATACCATAACTGTATTCAGCCCAGTAAAAATAATTGAAAGATTCCGTTACTGGGCTTGTGCCTTGTATGAATAGTGCAGTATTTTTTTTAACTATATGCTGTTTGCAATTGGTTCCATTCTTTTTTTTACCTTCTTCCAGCAAACTTACTATTTTAATTTCCGGTACCTCCTCAATGAGAAGCAAAGTGTTGTGGAGAAATACAAGATTTCTCTACAATCGGTTTAATAAACTTATGTGTTAAGCATGATATACTTTCCTTCTAGCTTTTCACCTTTCTTTTGTATTTATAGGTACCTAATGTTACTGATGTTGGTCTCAAACCAAGACGGATAAAAAAGGTTGCAGTTATTGGTGGTGGGCTGATGGGTTCTGGCATAACTACTGCCCTTATCCTAAGTGGCACACATGTCATTCTCAAGGAAATTAATACCACATTTCTGCAGAAGGGATTGAAATCGGTAGCAGGTAGTTATTTGAATTGAATTATTAGATTCTCAGTCTTTGCAGACATTTTCTATGTTCTTCTCTGTTCCAAGGAACAAACCAATTGTTATTGCTATGGATTTCTGATAGATATTAAGAGTCAATATTAGCTATCTTTTTTTAAAACAATCACTTCTTTATATTTCCATCTAAAGTCAATTACTTGCTTCTGAGAATCTTGTCTGTGAACTTTGTATGCCAGCAAATCTTGAAGGCTTAGTGAAGAAAGGATCTATGACACCGGATAAGATGAGCAAGACTTTGTTACTTCTCAAGGGTGTGCTTGATTACACAGATTTCAAGGATGTAGATATGGTTATTGAGGTTAACACGCGACTTTTTTCTAGAATTAATTAAGCGATATATAGCAAAACTATTAACTAGATGCAAATATCCGAGTGACGTAACAATCATACATGTAGCAAGCTAGATGGTTGCATTTATTATAGCTGATATCTAGGTTATTCATATTCTTTACATCTACATCTGTTTGGAACAGCAATGTTCATTTTCTAACAGAGCTTTGTCTTTCAGCTTATGTTTCCAGATATTTCTTACTCTTTATTGTTATTTTTGGATAGTTGCGTTCAGGTCACTTTTAATAGGTTCTGATGATATGACAAAGCCAAAAGGCCTCTATTGCATGCGGCTTTTTCCTCATTCTCATTTTTATATACTAAATGTTCATCTGAAAGGTAGGGCCTCTCGCTTAAGGACTATTTTAATATTCAATGACTCAAGTGTGTGCACTTGAACACATAATCATGTTTGCCTGGCTTGAGTGCATGTGTCTTTTATGCATATGATGGTTTGCCATGCCTTATTGTGTACCAGCATCATGAAGTCTGTCATCTTGTGGCTGTAAGGGTCCGAAATCAGACAGTTACACTCACTATTTATTTCCCGTTTACCTGATGAAGTTATCGTGGGAGCTTGATGGCTTTCAACAAACTAGCATATTGCTTTAATATCTTTCTCTAAAAAAGTCTTAGGACTCTTCTCTGGAAGAGAAAGCCTTGAAAAGAAAATCATTTAGAAAAAATATTTATGTATGGATACCTATTAACATACGCAATACCTATAGATGCGCTAAGTAGGCATGTACATTTACTGTGCTAAGCGTATATAATTATGTCTACGTACATTAGCTAACATCTTTCTCTGAAAGATTTTTTTTGCAAGGACCTTCTGAAATTTTTTATTTTCTATGACCTTTTTCTGAAAGATTTCCTTTTCTAGGCCGTTATTGAGAAGGTCCCCCTGAAGCAATCAATATTTAGTGAAATCGAAAAGGCCTGTCCTCCGCATTGCATTTTGGCAACAAACACGTCGACTATTGATCTGAACATTGTTGGACAAAAGACGAGTTCACAAGACCGCATTGTAGGGGCACATTTTTTCAGGTTAGCATTTGTTTGTTACATGTATGTCAGAGCTATCATACTATAACATTCTCTGAAAATGACACTTAAGAATTTGAGATATTTTTTTAAATTTTTATAAGGAGTCAATGATAACGTTGTGATAAGTGAAAACAAATAGAAAGAAAATAGAAAAGTTGAGATATAAGAGCATTGAATTATCTGGCTACTAGCTTATAAATCAGTTATTTATTTATAAATCAAATTGTGAGCATGCTTCATATATTCAAGAAGACTGACATATCTGGTTTACAGACCAGTTTTAATAAAGACAAGACCCCGATACATCCAACTAGATCGGTTTCAGCTGGTTTTGATCTTTCCAGTATCCACCAAGAAACATTGACATCAATGTTTTAACATTCAGAATGATTTAAACTCCTGCAATCAAGTCCTGAGCAATGTAGTATGGACATTTCTATTGCGGAGCTGTCTCATATTAAACACAGTTGTTGACAGACATGTCAGTACCAATGTTCTGTTTCATGTTTAAATTTGAGATCTATTGTGCATATGGTGTGTTACATCATGTCATGTTTGTGTTTATGTGTATGTGCCAGTGCAAGATAGATCCTGGGAGAAGGGGAAAATAGTGAAAAGAGAGAAGGGAAAAATAGGAGGAGGAAGAATAAGGAAGCTAATTGCATGATTTATAGATCTCTTCATGGTCAAATTCTTGCTGCTACTTGCAGTTCAATGAATTATCAATTAGTCCATTAATTCTTCTCCAGGTTGTTGTTGAATATTGTACTGTTGATGTTTAATGGTCCCTACCTTCTGTATTTCATCTAAATCATGGGTATAATGTATATCAATGGTGAGGGGAGAAGTTTGCTCCTCTTTGTATTGTTCATCCCGAGCCAAATTGGGAGTCTATTTTTCTGCTGTAAGATGATAGACTCTTATGGCTGTAAGAAGTACCATGAGAAAAGGTTTGAGTTTGACACTCATCAATGCATGGTTTATGGTCTCAAACTGTTCAACATGACATTTTGGAGCTTCTTTTCCATGTGAGTGAGGTTTAAGGCTAACATTCACGTCTTGGACTGTTAATTTTGTTTATGTGCAAACTGTTCTGCGTCCAAAAAGGATGCTTGCAAGCCATATTATTTTTTGTAGTTCATACTCATGCTGGGTTCTTATTTTGTGTCAACTTTGAAATGGTACTAAATTTTTAGAGTTAATTTTCCTTATGATTTAATATATTGTGCACAAGTTCTACTCAACTAGTGGCCATTGACTTTTAGCTTTTTTTGTTATTATCATGCGCCGGTGATGTATCATTTCAAATTTACGCAATGATGATTTTCGCAGTCCTGCTCATGTGATGCCGTTGCTGGAAATTGTCCGCACGGAGAAGACATCTCAGCAAGTAATCCTTGATCTCATGACTGTTGGAAAGGCAATTAAGAAAGTTCCAGTCGTGGTAGGGAATTGCACAGGATTTGCTGTTAATCGTACTTTCTTCCCTTACACTCAAGGATCACAGTTGTTGCTACATCTTGGTGTTGACGTGTTCAGAATTGACGCTGTGATTAGAAATTTTGGCATGCCAATGGGACCTTTCCAGTAAGCTTTCCTTTATCCCTTGCATGTTCTTGCAGTTGTCTGCTCATACTATGCTCGAGATTCGCAGAAGGCTGATAATGTGAAATTATATTCTAAAATTTTTAAATTTATTTTGTAATCCAAATTGTTTAGTTAAATATAATCCACATTGGTCAATTGATAGACTTGCAGATGTGGCTGGGTATGGGGTTGCTTTGGCAGTTAAGTCAATATATGCAGATGCCTTTAAGGGCCGGGTTTTCCTGTCAGATCTGATGGATCTGATGGTTGAAAATGGGCGACAAGGTATAGAAGAGATTCTTTTTTAGTTTTTGAGTTATCTGTTGCTTTATGTAATATTGCCATTGATGAAGGGTCTTTCCATCTTAATATTAGTTTGTGATTCATGTACGAGTGTAACTTTTGTCTGACAGGAAAAGCCAATGGAAAGGGTTACTACTTGTATGAGAAGGGAAGCAAGCCAAAACCAGATCCTAGTGTGCAGACAGTCATTCAGGAATCTAGAAGGCGTGCTAACGTCATGCCTAATGGAAAGGTCCCTATTTGTTTCTCGCCCTCTCTGCATGCATCTATCTAGGTAATTGTTACCTGTTTATTTTACTATACAGTACCTGACATGATCAGTTACTATTCGATGCAGCCCATATCTGTTACTGACCAAGAGATTTTGGAGATGGTATTCTTTCCTACTATTAATGAAGCGTGCAGAGTCATGGATGAAGGGGTTGTTGTAAGAGCATCAGATATTGACATTGCTTCTGTTCTTGGAATGGGTTTTCCCAAGTATAGGTTAGTGATCTTGATTTGATTCCTCTTACCTTCTGTTTCCTATGTAGGAACTTGGGGTAGAAACCTATTTAGCTGAAACATAGTTTACTCCTGACATATAGTAAAAAAAACGCCCATGCTACACAAAGATAACTAATTCATATTGTGTAGATGAATGCAATTATATCACATCTAATAGGTTCTGCAATTATATGGTTTGAGAAAATTAGAACTTTTCATATGCTTTTTTCTGCTTGAACAAGCTGACAGTAAATTTACAGTTTTAAATTTAGTATTCCTTCTTTTCACAAAATAAAAATTTCTTATTCCAGCAGTCTTGCTCAAGCATCTTCCATTTGTAACGCAAACTCAACCTTATTCTTTGACTATACTTTTATCTAGTTTGAAAGTAACTATTGATGGGGCATAAAAATATACCTCTAGAGTTGCAAGTGCACAACCAATCAAGTTATAGTATAAAAGTTATCGATTCCACGAGGAAGGTGTTTGTAGGAGAAAATCAAAATCGGTTCTTATGTTGTATGTGTGACAATTAGGAGTGATGAATGTGATTGTGGAGAGATAAAGAGAGTGAGAGTGATTGTATGTAAATAAAAACAAAACAAGATTGAGAGTGTAGAGATAAAGAGTAGATGTGATGAAGTGTAAGTGTAAACAAAACTACGAAAGGGAAGAAAGAAAGATGAAGGAAATAAAATCAAGAAACAAATGAGAAAAATCAAGAATAAAGAGGAAAAATAAAGAAAGTAAAAGATGGAGGATTCAATTAAAGATATGAGGAATGTAGAATTGAATTCACTAGCTAGTTTCACGCAATTTCCAGAGTTCCATAAGTATTAATTCCACATTTTTAAAAAAAGCAATTCCCTAGAAGGTTCTATCCTCGAGGCGAATCAAAGAAAGAGAAAATAAACAAACATAAAAACCAATCCTAAGAGGGTTCTAGCGTCAAGGCAAATAGTACAAGAAAATAAAATCTAAACTATAAAATAAATTGCAAGGAATAAATGTAAGAATTTAAAGCAAAAAAGTAAAGACATGAAAGAAAATCTAATCTATTAAGCATGAAAATAAATCTAAGGCAAGAGGGTTCTAACCTCTTAGCTATTTAAGCAAGAAAAGAAAGCAAAAGATAAATTTATTAACAAAGAAAATTACATCCCAAAAGGATTCTAGCCTTAATGTAATAGAAATGTGATTATCAACTATCTTCTGACTCTTTTTTGTTTATGATTTTACTTGAAGGGGTGGTCTTGTATTTTGGGCTGATTCGATCGGATCTGGCTATATATATTCAAAGCTTAATGAGTGGGCTGAAAAGTACGGTGGCTTCTACAAACCATCACGGTATTTGGAAGAAAGAGCTAAGAAAAACCTTCCACTGGTATGAACCTTGTGTTTAGTTCTCCTTCCCTCCATCTTATGTGATTTTTCTCTGAACTGTGCTTATAGTTTCTACCTTGTTTGCAGTCATTTGCATTTGAATGTTTTAAGTCATTGTTTTTCTGGATTTAATGATGATTTCTGAATGTCAATAATATCACATGAAAGTAGAATTTTTTTTACTGTTTCTCCTGTCAAAGTCCACTTTATTTTCCCGTCTAGGATTAAATATAGAAGACAACTTTGGCACAAACTAATGGAAAGGAAAAGAAATCTCCTAATGTCATTCTCAGATTGTGTCCATGGAATATGTAGAGATTCTGTACCCATGTAGTATTTGAATAATTTGAAAATATTAAAATTTGAGGGCTAAAAAGTAGGCCTCTTTTGAGGGAGTAATTCAAAAATAAAACTTGATTTTTAAAAAATTTCTATTATTATACTCTCAACTGTTATTTCCTTGCCTCTATGCAGAGTATGACTAGTTTGGCACCATCACAAGCTTCAAGGGCGCGCCTTTAATGGGCTTCACTGTGTTAAAGACATGAAGGAAGTGCAAGGAATAATACTGGATTATGTTTCTTCTGTTGCGAGCATTTTAGACGTACTAGAAATTAAGTTTGCAAAAACACAGTTATAGCAAAAAAATGTGTACTAATGGTTTCTCTGTATGTGTCTTGGTGACATCCCCAGTGCAAAAACATAGAACATAAAATGTGCATTAATGAAAAATAAAGTATGTTGTCTTGATGACATCTGCATTGCAATATTTTCTTTGTATGAGATGGATGTCAGATTCTCCCCATTTCTACTCCCCCAGTTTGCGTGAAGTGCGAGCTTGAAAATCGGAATTGACGACAGATTTTCACTCTGATGTATCGTAGTTCATGTTGGTAATATCTTTCGCTGACTTTGTCCTTGTGATGCTACTGCCATGGACAGGAGAACCAGTACCGATACCTTCAGATTTGCAAATGTGAAAATTTTATCCTAAAAATTTCTACACTCAGTCACAAGCTAATTTTAGTAAAATACAACATATTATTAATTGTACTAAAATACAATTACCCAGCTTTCTACAGCTTCCCTTTTTTATGTGCAACTGTACATATTTGAAATTTATTTTCATTTTCCGCCCTTTATAAATACCAGTTCAAACGTCGCAAGAGCACGAGAGTAATGTCTCGCAGGATCTCTCCCACTCTTGATCCGCAGCAAAAAGGAAAATACCTTTTTTAGTAAAACCCTAAAATGGTCGATGTCATTGGTGGAGATTTTCGATGATGATGCAGTTGTTGCCGGATTGAAGGAGACGTACACGGAGGCCATGAAGAGGAGCGCCGTCAACGCCATTGTTGACCGATGATAGTTCCAAGCCTTCCCTTCTTGGTTTTCTTGATCTAATTGGTCTTTTATTTCATTCCATTGAAGTAGGAAAAAAAAAGTTGATTTTGCTTTACTTTTGCTCTTTATTCTGCCACTAGCATGAGAAGGGATGAAAATTGAATTCAGGTTGGAAATTTTAACTGGAATTGACGAAGAGGAAGACTTCATGATCCCGGAGGATATTGAACACCCCATCATATAAAGAGATAATTTTACAAATGGGATTAAATTATTTTACTTACTAACTTGATGCTTTTGTTAGCATATAACCTCTTTCGATGTGCGAGAGAGTTGATCTCTACCATCATGTTCCGGAAATCTTTATTTCATTTTCACGATTCGGATTTGAATACAAGGTAAAATGTTTTTAGCGTTGTACACGCAAATTTGCTTTCTTCAGTTGCTCAAAATTAATTTGTAAGTTTAATTAAAAACCCGTGATATATAGTTTTGTGTGTACTAACTTTATAAAAGTTCTAACAGTTGGCATACCAAAATATTTGAAAATTTGCGTTGCTTATAAATGAAAAAAGTGTGATATTGTTATCACGTGAGGATTTTTGAACTTCAATGTTATGGATGGTAGTTTGAAAATAATTCAGAGAGGGATACATTTATGGGAAAAGAAAAAGCATCTGGGCAATATGAAATTTAGTAATTGGATGTTGTACTTTGCTTTATGTTAAAAATACAAGTTTTTTCCCCCTTGGACCAGCTTATGTTAAATAGAGTAATATATTTACGTGACTGCCTATTAGACCGCAGGTGGTTCAAATTCAAATAAGTTTTGTGTTAAAGTAAATTAAAGGCTGTTTCTTTTTGGGCCTGAGTTTGTGACTCCAATATAAGATACAGTGTAAGCTGCAGACTTCTCGATGCTTGCAGTATATAGCAGAGATCGGCGAGATGTTTGGCTTTATTTACCCCCTCCTATTATTTCTTGTTGTGTTTCTGTCGGCTGAGCTTGTTACTATGCTGCGAAAGTTGAACCTACTGTTCTACTCAAAAAATATTTTGTTGCTTCTTCCTTTACATGCGAGGGAGGAAATTTTCTGGTGGTTTTGACATTCATGTTTTCGCTGAGGTTCAGAAGACAGGAAACACATCGCTGTTACCAGATGTGTCCGTCGAACTCGTGATGAACATAATTGAAGGTTTCTCTAATTTATAACTACGTGACTCGTATTTATAATTTCTCTAATATTCACTCCGTGTTCTATGTAAATCCCCATTTCCTTTGTGTTAGTTTATTTAGGTGGGCA